CTCCTGTCACAGGCGGAGTGATTCCAAATGCACTCCGCCTGTGAGGAATCATAGTGAAAGCACTCATTCAGCGATTGGTTACCAAACTGCTGAAAGATGAGTGCAAAAAGAAAGAGCTATTCTGTCAATAGAGCTTTTAATGTTGTACATTAATGAGCTATTAAAGAACTATTAATACCCCGTAAATAAGACCTAGTGTGTTTTTTTTTTGAGCCAAAAAAAATAATTTTTTTTTTAAGATTAGGATAGGTTGAGCAAGGGTTAGGATTAATGTTTTTATTTCTGTCTGTAATTTAAATGGTGAGATTTTACCTTACTTTCTATTCTGTCATACACTTACTAATTAGGCAGAAATAGATCTGAAATATTTTGTTTGCACAGCAAATAAAACCACAAAATACTAAACATTACATAGGTATAGACAGAAAGAGTTTTAGTTGCATTAATTATTGTAAAATAGTATCTTAAAAAACTTCTCTATATACTCTAAATTCACTTGTCACATGGCCTTAATATGGCATAAAGATATAAAGCGCCACATATATGAAGTACCAACAAATGTGTTAACAATTTCTATGGAGCTCTGTACAACTGACTTGTGGTAAACACAGTAAGAGGCTTGTGAGCCTGTAGTTTATTATATTACATGGGACTTTGGAAAGACTGAATTTCAGGAAAGTCCTCTCACCATGCAGGCTGCTTGCACAGCTTCAGAAACATTTCCTGCATGCGGCTCACACCAGAAGACATGAGTCTCAAAGTGCTGATTTCCAGTGTCCATAATGAAAGCGAATGTGTGAATGTCTTTGCCAACGCCCATGAAGGATAGGAAGCGGACCCTGCATTCAACCAAGACCTCTTCATCCTGCAAGACAGATCAGATTAGAAATACATAATGGCAACTTAATATATCATAGATAGATCAGAATAGATAAAATGAAGTGTTTTTGTAAATCAGTCTTTGTAATCCAACAGCCTAACCAGTAACTGCAGACTGGAATACTGTTTTCCTGCTCAACCGGGTAATTCTGAGAAATGCTGCTTTCTCTGGAATGTTTTAGAAAAATAAATGAATATGACTACATTAGGTATAAAGGAAAATGCAAAACAAAAATTGCAGTAGTCCATGACATTGACACAGCATACAGTTATTCTAACCACATAGGCGCATCAGTAGAGGTGCACCGAAATGGAAATGTCAAAACTGAAGCGAAACCGAAATTAAAAAAATTGTCAGGCCGAAACCTAAAATGTTTTTTATTTCCATTTTTTCAAATTTTTCTAATATTTTATTTTTATTTATGAAATATCAATGAACATGAATCCTCTATACTGAGTGTTCCTGTTCATTCATAACATGAGGACATTGTGTGTTTCCTATAACTACAACTATGAATGGACAGGAGGTGATGTAGCTCACTTCCCATTCATTCATAATTGAGGATATAGTAACCATACCGTGTCCTCAATTATGTACAAACACTCAGCGATCACTGATCGCTGAGTGTTTGCCCTCACTCTCCTCTCTGACAGCTGTCACAGGAGGCTGAGCGAGCGGTGTAGAGAGGAGAGCTCAGCCTCCTGTGACAGCGCAGCCTGTCTCCACCCACACACCGCTCTGCCAGACTGTGACAGGAGGCTGAGTGGTGTGGGAGGAGAGATGCCGGCCAACTCACAGCGCTCTCCTCCCGCAGCGCTTGGCTGGATGTCACACTTTCTCTCCTCCCCGCTGGGACACAGCAGGGAAAGCAGGGATGCGCCAATGTATTGGCAGGAAAATTGCACTTTCGGCATCTAGCCAAAAGTGCCATTTTCTTTTGTGTTCAGTTTTCAAACTTGATACACTTGAATTAGGTTTTTTCCTCTACAGAGTGTTACCCCATTAACAAAAAAAATATGAACACCTATGAAGTTAACCAGGAGATTGGTCGTTAAAAGAGCTTTACAGCTTGATTCTTAGAGTTGGTCATACACAGGTATGACACAATGATAAAGAACTAGTCGTGCCTTTTCCAACCTGAGTTTCTTGTGTGGTAAACCATGAAAGTTTTCATACAACGGTCACATACAGATAGAAACATCTTTGTAAAATGAACAGTAAGTCCAGATTTTAATTATGAGCCACTAGACTTAGTTATCATTGTCACTCCCACACTGAGAGATCTTTGTGGTTGAACAGCTCTACACACCTGGCCTTCTTTAAGAAAGGTTGTGATAAAAAAATAAATTAACACTTCTTCATAAGAGAAAACAATTTGAATTTGTTTTTGCACTCGAGCCAGTAAAGCAATACTGTATACGGGTGCAACATGAAATATGGTCTCAAAGGTAAATTAAGCCTTTAATATATAGATTAATTATTCGAAATTTGGTAAATTTTAGGACACAAGTACTACATGTATAAACTGCATTCTAAAAATTGCACAAAAGAACTCCTCCATTCTTTACAAAACTTTTGCTGGAGTTCTGTTCATCACAACAGTGCATACAGTGAACATAAACAGGTGTGGTTCATCTAAATCTGGAACGCAATACAAATCAATGTTTAGAAAGTCACATGCACAATGACTACCGGTAGTGCTAAATGTAAATATAAATGTGAACTTCCAATAATTTTTTTAAGGAAAATTTATATTTCAAAGAAAATGTAAAACCTTGAATCAATGCCAGCCTCGGACATTTGATTTTCCATTGTCCTTTTACAGTGTGTATCATTTCTAGTCACAGGATGGGAATATGTGGGAGCCACAAGCATGAATAGAAATGCTTTATTCCATTTCTGATGCACTCACTGACAGTATACCAAAACAGAGACTTAACTGGAGTTTTATGAATGAGGATTTCACTGTTGTAGTATTCAATTTTACAGATGTCTGCTTTTCAGTTACAGACCAAATGATCTGCAAACTGTCTTACAGAAGTCAACCAACTATGAAATGAGAGAATGCTTCTTTGTACAAACACAGAAGACAAACAATTGGATTTGTACAAAATAAAATCACTGTGCTGCAACTGATAAATGAGAATTCTGAACTAATTAAAAGAACAGAAAACTGTTAGAAAAATAGGAATGACTGAAATCACTACGGGAGTTATTCACTAAGCTGCCAAAAGCAGCCGAGTGAATAACCAAGCCGAACCACGTTCAGCTATTCACTTCAGCCGTCTATGGCTGATTTCAACCGTACATCGCCTCTCTTCGGTTCAGCCGAACAGCCTCAGCTCGTTCTCCTGAACCAAAGTGAAGAACAAGTCCGCCTCATAGGGGCCGAACAGCAGTGAGTGAATAGCTGAATGCTCCCCAGTTATTCTGCACACTACCTCAGAGGTAGCCCTACCAGACTCTGTAGGTCTGGTAGGGATGTTAGGAGGGACACCCAGTTAAAGATCTTTAAAAAAGTGTGTGGGGCTCCCCCCAAAAGTCATACCAGACCCTTTAGGTCTGGTAGGGATGTTAGAAGGGACCCCCAGTTAAAAATGTAAAAAAAGATTGCTTGGGGTCTCCCCCAAAAGCCATACCAGACCCTTTAGGTCTGGTAAGAATTTTAATTGGGAACCCCAACCCCAGAAAATTAAAAAAAATAAATAAATACAGTGGGGTTCCTGCTAAAATTTCATACCAGACCCTTTATCCAAACACTGGCCTGACATGGCAGTAAAGGGAGAGTTGCTATGCAACACTGGGAGGGTCCCCCCTGGAAAAGCATCTTGTCCACATGCCGATGGGGGCAAGGGCCTCTTTTCCCCAACCCTGGCCCGGTGGTTGTGGTGTCTGCCGGCAGGGGGGCTTATTTGCATTGGTGTACCACATTTCAGATTTTTACTCCTGTCTCAGGTGCTCGGCTCCCTGCCAATCCACGCTGAACCTCAGTGTTAAATGTTCAGTGCACTTGTTGCCTGATGTTCGAGCAACAAGTAGTTACACTTTACCGGATCCCCTCTATACTATTTGCCTTGGATCCCTGCTGTTTGCTATTTAGCTGCTTTGTTTCTTGTGTCTCCTGTTGTTCCCTTGTGCTCCCTGTGAGATCCTGCTTACCTGTGAGTTTGTCTTCCCTGTTTGGCTGTTTGTCCTTGCAGCCGCGCTCCTCTGTTATCTCCAGATAGCTGTGTTGTGCTGTCTCTCTATTGTCTCCTTGTGTTCCCTTTCCACTGTTGTTTGGACTTCTGCTCCAGTGTCCCTCTCTATCCTGTACTGCTGTTTATGTACAGGCCTTCCCCTATCTGCCTTTCTGTCCTGTGCCCTGGTGCTGCAACTAGTTTCCTGAGTCTGTGCGGTTGAGCTAGAGAGCCGCAACCTGGAAGGTGTCCAGCAGACAATCATCCTCACCATTAGAGGCTCTGTGGAAGACCTGGCCCTTCTTAGAACCTGCGCCTCTAGTGCGTCCCCAAAAACACACAGACTGAGTCTTTCTGCTGCTCCTTCTCTGTCCAATCACAAGGTATATTGTCTAACAGCAGCAGAGTAAAGTCGGGTCGCCAACCTGGCTATGCCATCAGGGCTGTGTAAACCTCAAGACTGGCATGACAAATCTTCTGGTAGGTAGGACAGCTCCCATGCACTTATTTACTTATTTTAAATGCGTATTTAGCCATTTGCCTGGAAATCAGCTTTCCCTCATGGGCAACAATACAAACAAAGAGTGTTAAGTGTTGTTATCCTCCAAAAAATGAAGCAGTTAAAGGGTAACAGAAAGTATTTCCCACGCTATTACAAAGATGCCTTATTACTGCACACAGCATGTACCAAAGCCTGCATTCCTGTGGCCTGGGAAAGGGTTAACTCCAGACATACGATGCACTTAATTACTAACTAAAGCTATTAAATCAAACATCTGTTCTCTAAATTATGTACATTCACAATGCAAAAAAAATGAGAGGATTATTGTGCTTCAGTGATTGCAGCACCATTTATTATTTTGTGCACACATCTAAATGTCATTGTGCATGCACAGCTTCCCAGTGAAATGTGACCTTGAAGCCACCTAGCAGTAATAGAAAGAATGCTGTAGGGCTTCTTCTATTCCTTCCAGAAATCTACTGGCTATAAACAAGCATAAAACTTTTACAGGTTACAGTTATCCCCAATTACCATGGAAATGATGTGTTAAAGATATTTAAAGCTGAACTCTGGGAGTTATATAAAAAAAACTTGAAATGCCCCCCCTCCCACATGGCAAGGGTTAAATGCTTGTTAAGTCTAAGGGTGGAAGAATAAGGTGTAATACTTACCTTACTCCTCACAGACTCTCTCCATCTGTGGGAGCGGTCCCCAAAGCCTCTTCTCAAACATACTACGGTCTGCGGATGCATGCTAAAGTTAGCACGTACCCATTTTGAAGGCTTATATGCAATTTATTGGCCATAAAAAGGGTATGGGGATTTGGGTGCAGCCCTGGGGGACAGGAATCAATGAAAAAAAAACACTTTTAAAAAATACAGCTTTTACCGGAGCAGTGATTTTAACATCACTTAAAGTGAAACAATAAAAATGAAAAATTCCTCTAAATATCGTGCCTGGGGGGGTGGTCCCCTTAAACCGCCTGTAGAGTTGCACACATAAAGACAAAAATGACATTTAAAAAGAAAACAAATGATATTTAAAAAGAAAACAAAAAAAAGTGTGCTGTTCCCCCTCCCAAACAACACCAGACCCTTAAGATCTGGTAGGAAAGTTAGGAAGGACCCCATTTAAAAAAAAAGCATGGGGTTCCCCCCAAAAGTCATACCAGACCCTTTAGGTCTGGTCGGAATTTTAGGAGGGATCCCAAGTTACCCTGATGCATGATCTTTGTTCATGAGCTTACATTGGATGTAAGTAAGCACTTAACATCATTTCATTAAAAAAATTAAAACATGGTACTT